AATATACAAAAATTTTTGGTAATTATTAAATCATAAAGTGACTTACCTCTAAGCAATAATGTTATACATATTGTCCTCCAAGCCAATGTTAAAAAAAAACAATAACTAGGACTTCTTTAAAAGTCAAGGATCTAGAAGCAATAACACAGCTAAAATGTGAGTCGCATTCAATTGGCAAACCAACTTATTGGCCCACAGATAGAAATAAAATACTCGACTTGATAGTGTAAAATGGATTCCTTAATTATAACTACACTTTCGCATTTTGTCGCATTACCTGGATAAATTTTATGGTACAGTTAATATCCTTTAAATTTGATGACTCGACGACTCTTTTGTGAAAAGTGTCATTATTTTCTAATTTAAAACTGGAGCTCTTTATATAAATTAGGAACTTTTAATCGATTTCATCTATACTGATTCATTCATATCACCTATAGGTATTATTCGTCGATCAGATTTCAATTTAAATTTTTTTATTTTCTGCACGAGTAAAGCCTGCGTTTTATCCATTTGCTCTGCATACAAAATCACCTGTTTTCGCTTCACCGCCATCAGTTGCACTAGCAAATCTTCAAGCTCGACGAGGTCATTTGCGAACTAATACACGTAGACTGTTCGCGATGGGCGTGCATTTTATTTCTTTTCCACATCTACAAAAAATAAATTTAATTTCCGGATGAACGAATCCAAAGCCATGTTCTCCGTTTCAATTACCGTTCGTTCCACGTGGTCCTTTGATATAGAAACGTTTCACTTCAAACATTGTCACTTTTCAAGCGAATTTCGGTAATTGTCATCATCCGAGACTCAATTAAGAGCACGTAGGATCATGTTTGAGGAGCGTCAAAGGGCGACTATCCCAAGTGACGAATTGAACGATACTAATTTAATTTATATTTGGGTGTAACAGCTGGAATTCAACTGTAACTTATTTAAAAATTGATTAGGTAAAAGAAATACCGGGGAAATATCTACATCCAACATTTAAATTTTTTAGATTTGGGTAAGTTAGATGCCCTAAATGTGGAAAAGTTAACACATGAACATCCTCACGTTTTAACGTATTTTACAAATAGATTTACAATGTTGCAGAAAAACTACAGCGTACTGTCACACGACTACATTCAAACACAATAAAAGAATATAATTTGCTGGACCATGCTGTTAGTGTCCTTAAATACATCACGTGTACTGATGGACAAAAGCTTCTTAGAAAGAACGCATCTAGAGTTGTGAAAAACCTAGAAAAATACATATCTGAACAAGAACTTTATGATTAATCCACATGTAGGTGTGATAGTAATGCCAAAGGAACAAGACAAGGGATTGTTAGCTAACGAGAAACGGGACGAATAAAGGAAAAATAAATAATTACAAGAAATTATTGTCACAGTCAAAATACATAACAATATATTGTGACAGGAACAGTGTGAATGGTGTATGAGAGGTGTGATAGTAATGCCAAAGGAACAAGACAAGGGATTGTTAGCTAACGAGAAACGGGACGAATAAAAGAAAAATAAATAATTACAAGAAATTATTATCACAGTCAAAATACATAACAATATATTGTGACAGGAACAGTGTGAATAGTGTATGAGACTAGTATTTGGAAATTGGAATGTTATTTAAATAAATTCAATCAGTTAGGATAGAAAATTTTAAATTGGGGTAAAATTACATTAGGGAGAACACAAAAGTACACAAATTTATATAGACAACTTAAAGTTTTGTTAAAAGTGTTATATAAAAGTGTTAAAAAATTTTTTTTGAAAGTGTAAAAAGTATATGGATTTGCGTGGAGGAAAGAAGCTTGGCACAATGGAAGACAATGCAGGAGACAAGGAAGAGAATTTACAACAAGTAGAACAAGGAGATTTAAATAATACAGGCATGGAAGAAAAAAATAAAGAATCAGGGGAGCAACAAAAGAAAGATGAAGGTAAAAAAAAAGATGAGGGAGTTTTAAGGAGCATGTTTGCGGCCATAATGAAAATAAAGAAAAACACTATGGAAATATACAATAAATTGGATAATATAGAAGAAAACAGGAAACAAGATAAAGAAGAACTAATGAAGAAATTTGAAGAATTAGAAATGAAAACACATGTAAAATTTGAAGAAATGCAGAAAAATGTAAAAATAGAAGTGATAGAAAGAATTCATGAAGTAGAAAATGAACAAAATAAGAAATTTAAAATAGTACACGAAAAAATATCTGCAGATATGGAAAAGATAGTATCGGAGGCAGAGGATCAGGGAAAAAGGATATCAAATCTAGAAAATAAATCCTCTCAAGAGAAGAAGGATCAAAAAATGAAACTAAAAAGAAAAATAAATGTCATTGAACAAAATGTTGATAGTGTTAAAAGTAAACTTAAAATTGAAAAATCAAACATAAAGTCGAGAAAGAAAATAAATCAAATGAGGAAACAAAATGAAGGGGAAAATGAAAGGCAAGAAAAATAAAATAAAAATAAATGGAAAAGAATTCAAAAAGAAAGCAAGAAATAAGATAGATAAAACCATGAAACAAAACGAAGGAAGGAAAAAGAAATCTAAAAGTCTAAAAACTAAAGTTAATTTAAAAAAAAATGTTGAAGATATAAAACAAACGAAAATGAAAATAAAATGTAGGAAAGAATTGGTGAAGATAATGAAGAATAGAAGATTAACAGAAAAAGAAAGAGTGAGGACGAAGATGAACGAAAAGTAGTAAAATTTAGTTGGGGGAGGAAAGGGAAATTTAAAATTATCTGTGAATTTGAAAATTGAATAGGTAAAATTAATAAAATAGAGATAGATAGATCAATGGATTAAGTAATTGTTAGAGCACTAAGAATATCTAATAATAAAAAAAGGATATGTGTGAGACTGGTGTTTCCGTTTGAAGGGAAATTTGTAGTGGACAATGAGAAAGATAATTTATAAATTTTGGGAACATATAGATCAGGAAATGGGAGAATGGGGGTTAGTTTATTTAAAGGGAAAAATGGGGGATAAGAACATAAAAATTTTAGTAGATACAGGGTCTGAAGCGTCGATTATAAATGAAAAATTAATAGAAAGGGCAAAATAGTTATGTATTAAAATATATAAATAATGAAGGAATAAGAGGAATTTTTCATATACAAGATTTATATAGATATGTGTGATAAATGTTAAATGATTTCTATGTTGTTAGTGTTGATACGTTTGAGTGTTGTATTGTGTCGTATGTATAGTTACAATAGTAAAAGTATATATTCGAAGGTTTGAAAAATAGAAAAATCAACAATTTAAATTGATAAAATGTTTAAAAATTTAAAATTAATATATGTGAGATTGGGTATTTATTGGTTATTTGGATAATTTAAAGATAATTATTTGGAAATTTTGTGTTTAATATTATATTTAAAAGTAATAATATGTAAACACTAAATTTGGGGGATTTGATAAGGGAAATTCCCAGATAACGAAATTTAAAATTAAAATGTCAAAATTGAAGTAGACGGTTTAGAGTCTAGAATAATTTGATTGTAAAATTATCAAGGTTTGTTGTTGATTTGATTTTGGGAAGATGAGAGATTGTCATCAATTGTTTAAGAAATGTCAAAAGGGGAAAATAACATATTAGAGTAATAAAGTATTGTTAATGATTGGAAGATTATAATAAAGAATAATACGAAAGGTAAAAAGAAAAGAAAATTTTAATTAGAACTCCTGAATCAAAAGAAAAGAAGGAATCAGTAAGGGTAACAGATAAGCAGAGACATTTAAAAAATAGCACACAGGTAAAGATATTATAGCATACAGGTAGAGACACAGAGACACAGAGACAGGCAGAGACAAACAGAAACAGGCAAAGACAGGCAAAGGACACCAAGCAGCGACAGGACAAAAGCAACAGCATTAGCAGGACGAATAGAACAGTAGGAGCAGAAGCGGAGCAGCAAGGGCAGAGAAACAGAAGATTTTTTAAATTCAATTAATTTTCAATTATTCTTATTTTTTTTATACAAAATTTGTAAATTTTCTAGATTTTTAACCGGCCCAGTTTTGAGATTTGGTAGTTTTTGAATATTTTTGGAAATCCATGTACTGGGTGGGTTCAAAATCTAGAAAATTTAAAAATTTTGTATAACAAAAAATAAGAATAATTGAAAATTAATTGAATTAAAAAAAATCTTGTTTCTCTGCCCTTGCTGCTCTGCTTCTGCTCCTACTGTTGTATTCGTCCTGCTAATGCTGTTAATTTTGTCCTTTCGCTGCTTGGTGTCCTTTGCATGTCTTTGCCTGTCTGTTTGTCTCTGCCTGTCTCTGTGTCTCTACATGTACGCTATAATATCTTTACCTGTGTGCTATTTTTTTAAATGTCTCTGCTTATCTGTTACCCTTACTGATTCCTTCTTTTCTTTTGATTCAGGAGTTTTAAATAAAATTTTCTTTTCTTTTTACCTTTTGTATTATTCTTTATTATAATCTTTCAATCATTAACAATACTTTATTACTCTAATATATTATTTTCCCCTTTCGACATTTCCTAAAAAATTGATGACAATCTATCATCTTCCCAAAATCAAATCAACAACAACCTTGATAATTTTACAATCAAATTATTCTAGACTCTAAACCGTCCAGCTTTGCTAACTTCAATTTTCTTATTTTTTTTTTATACAAAATTTATAAATTTTCTAGATTTTGAACCCGCCCAGTTTTGAGATTTGGTAGTTTTTGAAAATTTTTTTGGAAATCCATATACTGTGTGTTTCCATATCAATATATATTTTTTTTTATTGTGAAATGTTGAATATATTCCATTTGAAATAACATTTTTTTATTTAAAATAGTAACACTAGTTGTCCTCAGAAATTGGGCATTTGTAGGACAATATTTAAAAAAGTAAACACCTTGTATTCAATTATATTTATTTATATTCATTTATATTCAATCAATGGTAATAGTGTTATTGCTTTACTTTTCGAAAATTTTAACATTTTTTCTTTTTTTTTTTTCAGGTAATCGTCTATCCAACCAAAGAGGGTCTACAGCTATGTGGAGCTCTTCTTATACTGCTGCTTATCTGGTTTGTAGCTTTAGCTCTGGCCATGCCTCTGTTCATTGTCAGACATCTTGTACATCACACAATACCTCTAGGCACAGAATATTTAAACATCAATTTCTGCATAGAAAATTGGCCACTAGAACACGGCAGAGCTTACTACTCCATTTTTTCGTTGATTTTTCAGTATACGCTTCCCATCATTATTGTGTCGGTAAGTAATTTATTTATTAAAAAAAATATATTTTTATTAAATTTGCTCTATGAAGAATGTAATATTCTTGACATATGGAAGTCAAATTCAATTAGACTAAAGACCATCCTGCATGTTGTAGTGAAAAAACTTGCATTTTATACTAGGTTATGTTGTTCCCGATAAAAAGAAAACTTAGGAATAATATAATAATAGTAGTGATGAATGAATTAGAAGAAAATTCATTGAAATTGGCTCGTTAATTATTAATCCTCTCGAGGTAAGGAACAAAACATAGGTATAAATGAATTTAATACTTTCTTTAGGGCGAATTTATTTAATTCTAATAAGCCAAGTTAAGTCAAACTACAATTAGGAAAAATTACTAGCCAATTATTGTATAACTTAGGTACCACGAATAAATTCCTGTACTCCTGCTTATTATTGATAAGACAATTAAATAATAAAAATGATATTAGCAAGTTATCAATACATGCAGCTAGTTTACCACAAATAACAGCTTTAAAAGCTTACATCAGTAATAAATAACGTTTTAACCTTTGATTACTTAGACAAGATAAATTGAATATAAAATCTTGTAATTTAAGGTTCTAAAAATGCATGTTTACTGTCTATTCAAAGGAATAACAAATAAAGAACTTCGAAGACCTCACATTCTGGTACGATTAGCATTGTTGTCTGATGTACCAGTTATTATGGAAATGCAACTTAATTTGACAAGGTCGTATCTGAGGTGATTTCTTACCAATATTGACAAGAAACTAGGTATCTTTAATCAAGCCATATTAAATATATAAAAATAAATTTGTTAGGTTATACGCTTATGATTTTCGATTAATTCTATGTATTCAATTCATTTAATTTAATCTAAAATAAGCGTTAGAATTGAGTGGTTAGAAACGGAACAGCAAATGTTGCATTAATACCATTTTAGAACACTTGTGATCCATTTTTGGCCAGCCAAAGGCTAAGTAATGGCCACTAATAGAACATTTAAATCCTATTTTGACTATATGATAAATTGACTGGCCACTAATGTGTTTACCAAAAGTTGCCACTTAGGTAATATATTTATTCTTGCCCTGCGGAGCTGGCAGATAAAATTACTTCACCCGGGCATTTACCATCGAGGTGGTAACAGAACACCAAATGGTCTCAACAATGGAGCATCTAGAACCTCTCGGTGATTATTAACCTAGAGGACTTTGACTTGGGAGGCTAGCTATCCCTTTACACCCCCCCCCCCCTAGTGACAAACAGCGGGTTTCTGAGTTAATAACCTGCAGGACTTTGTCGAACTGAAAAGAGAAGATGGCGTCAACCAGTAGGTTTTGGCAAGTTGATAACCTAGAGAACTTTGATAAACAGGGAAGATGGTGGCAACCAGCAGGTTTTGACAAGTTGAGAGGCAGGTTCTGTATGCCCCTGGAGGATGCAGAATGGGCTTTACGCGGTCTAAGTGTGTGTTTGTGAAGATGCTGGATGTATCGGTTGTTTAATTGTTAGTAGGAGGTATTGTAGTTCATCTCCTTGTCTCAGAGATTTGGTTAAGTTCAGGTATTGCATTAAGGCGCTGCCTGTGCACAAACTCGGATCATCGTTAAATAATTTAAAGACTGAAAGTGGTTGTTCTTTTCTCAAAGCTGAAGTTTTAAGCATTTCAGATATAAAGATTTCAACTCCCTCTGTGACATTTATGTCAGAGATTTTGATGTTTGACAATGTTTGTATTCTTTAAGCGGAAGTCAGTGAAATTAACATGCAGCATTTCATCAATATTATTTTAGAGAAGAGTTACTCCAGGAGGCTAAAATTGTAAAGAGATGCACGATTCTGGGATATTATTTCGTTGTAGTGCTTCCCGGATAACTTCGCTACTGCGAGGGTAAGCGTCTTGCTGAGGGGGTGTTCTTCCTTAAAAGAGGATAAAAGTAATGTATTTGATGGTCCCAATAATATTATTTTTGATATTTTTATTCTAGAAAAAATTTGTGCATAATTGGTTTCATAATTTTGGTAAAAATATATGGGGCTGAACTAAGGCTGAAAGATAAACACTCATATAGTATATTGCTGAATTTAAACCTTCAGTATTTTTTGTCTGTTTTTCTAATTGGGACTAAAAAATAGGCATCTTGCAAGTCTATTGTAAACATGTAACATTGAGGTTGCAATATTTTTTGTACTGTTCGGTAATCCTCTAGTTTGAAATGGGGTGCTATCACATAATTATTTAATTTTTTTAGATTAAGTATGAACCTGTGTTTGCCACTTGGTTTTTTATTTATTTACGGATATGGTTTGTTGTTAACTAAGTCTATTTAACAATTTAAAAAGTAAGCGTTGTCCTTCAGGCAAATGTGATACTTGAATTTCATCTTCACTCATGCTTAAGTAGTCAGGGTGCTAGATACTGATCAAAAATTAAAAATATCAATACACACTGTGGTGGAATTAAGTATATTTCTGATAAGGTTCAAAATATACGATTATCGTCTCTATCAACAACAGCAAATTTAATAATTTAAAACAAATTTTGCAGTTTCTCTCGCTTCCCAGAATATACAGTGTGAAAAAGCCAAATGGAATAAATTCATTATTTCGATTACTGTACATATTTATAGAAAATCCCGAAACAATACACTCAATATGTAATATTTAATTGTTCATAACGTAAAAACTATGAATGTCAATGAAGTAGATGTTTAAAATGCTCACCGCGAACGTCTTGGCAACATCCTAATCTTGAATAAAAATGTCTTCTAATGTTAATTAACATATCAGGCGTGACCGATCTAATCGCAAGCATTATTCGTTCTCTTAAGTCATCTAAATCACGTGATTTAGTTTTGTAAACAATATTTTTCACATAGCCCTATAAAAAAAAGTCTAATGGGGTAAGATCAGATGATCTTGCTGGCCATTCTATTGATCCTTGCCTCCCTATCCAGCGATTTGGAAATGTTAAGTTGAGGTACTGGCGGACATTGATTTGGTAATGTGGAGGTGCTCCATCTTGCTGGAACCATATGATATTTGCTGGAACTTGAGGGTTTCCTGGATCAGGAAATAAATTTGCCAAACTTGGCACCACATCATTTTGTAGTAGTGCTAAATAATTATCGCCATTCAAATTCCCCTCAATGAAAAAGGGACCAATGGTATGGTTTTCAACAATCCCTGCCCAAACATTAACCTTTTGAGGGTATTGTGTATGGAGCTCTCTCATCCAGTGAGGATTTTCCGTTGACCAGTAGCGGCAATTTTGACGATTAACATGACCGTTAACGGAAAAAGTGCACTCATCAGAAAACATAACGTTTTCTAATTGGATGGTATTGTTATTCAACATTTCCATCATTTGTTCGCAAAAATTTGTTCTCCTATCAAAATCGTCTTCCATGAGTTCCTGAGTCGGTATCATTTTATAGGGATGCATTTTATTTTCATTTAATATGTTTAGTATCGATATATGGTTGACATTAAATGTTGCAGATTCTTGTCTACTCGGTGTATGTGGGTTTTCCTCGAACTCAAGTATCATATCTAATTTGATATCATCACTCAGTGCATTGGCAGCTGTTTTTTTCATCTGCTTTACATGTCCAAATTCGCGAAATTGCTTCTCTATTTTACTAATTGTACCTTGGGATATAGGCGGCAAATTCGGAAATTTTTCATGAAATAGGCGAGCAACTTCTATTTGTTGACAAGGGGGTAGTCATGTGTGAGTTGAGGTAATTTTAAGGTGAAGGAGGAGAAAAAGTCCTTGATATCTCACAAGGAGAGATATATGAGAGATATGTGAGATATAAATGACTTTTTCTCCCCCTTCACCTTAAAACTTCAATTTGTGTTCGGGTGTTATCTCCGTAACCAATCATCTGTAAAACTGTTATTTTATGCATTTCTGTTAATCTAACCATTTTTATGAAATTTAAACGACAATTATAATATTGACAATATCCTGCAGTTATAATTATTACAAACCAATTTGCTAAGGCATTTTAAACAAACTAACATTGCTATGATAGTTTTTAAAGGATTTTTTTAAATTGATATTAAAAAAGAACACTGATATGGTTTTTGCTTAGGTACTGTTTTATTATAAAGACTAAAACAGGAAATAGTAGTGTAGGTACTCTAGAGAATTTCGGTAATAAGATGATTTTATTTTTTTTATGTTAATTTGTGCAATAAATTTATATACAATGACATTTTTGGATAGAGAATGAAGATACCTTTCAAACGATATATCACAAGCCTATACTCCCATTTAAAAAATTAGAAGTTGTAACTGTTACTCAAAGGGGGTTGAAGATAGGGATCACATTTTCACTTTAAAAAATGTCAATTTATAATTTAAATTTGACGTGTTTCGGGATTTTCCATAAATATGTACAGTAATCGAAATAATGAATTTATTCCATTTAGCTTTTCCACACTGTATATTATCTAAGTTTGATCAACAATGCATGTAATAGTTACCCTTTGATTTTAATATAAATGCACTAATTACTGAATTTTGGAGGACAACAACACATGTTGTGTTTTCTACAGTCTTTTTTTGGGATATGTTTGATACCTTTTAGATGAATTAATTAAAGTGGCTAAAAAGACCACATTAGGAACTGAGTGGCCATAAATGGAATAAAATTAATATTTATGTATTCGAAATATTAAAAGAGGATAAAAAAAGTCTATTGTTTAGATTTGAAATATAAATACAAAAACAATTCTTTGTTTTGATTAATGTTTAGACTCGAATGGTAATTTTATTAATTTTTTATGATTTTTTTCAATTCCCAGGATACTTTAAAATGGCCATAAATGGCGGTCCTGCCCTAGTTGTAGCAATTACTAATATTTATACCTTCTATATTACGCACGTTGTAACAAATACTTAAATCCCCCCTTTATATAGAAATAACTTTTTTATGAAATTCAGTCAGGCATAACGAGGAAAAACAAATTTTGTTATGGAAATGCTACACCTAATT